CATCAAAATGTAAGCTCTTTGAAGCCAAAGATTATGCATTAATCATCTTAGCAAACCCAGGGCCCAATACAGTACCTGGTACATACTAAGAATTCAATAAGCGTTTGCTAACAAGGAAGTTAGCATCAGCAATATTTGTATTCCTTACTAACATTCTTACTGATTTGTCAAACAGGAGGCTTACACACACAGAGCTACTGGAACGGAATGAGTCTGTTTTCACAGACTTTTTTAAACAAAAACTTCACTTAATCCAGATAAATATTTGCTTTAACCTAACAACTAATAGATGTTTTTAATGCAGACAAAAAAATCAATTACAGAAGATCTGAAAGATTGGTTTTTAAAGGACTCAACTTGTTTCATTTCTTCATTTCTCTGTCTTTGAAAAATAATCTTATCGGAAACATTTTTTCTTAAGACACTTAAACTTACGCACCCATGTGAAAAAGTACTTTCATTTTAATTCAATTTTAATTTCAAACTAAATCATTTATCTAAATTAGAACAATTAAGTAAATTTTCTCTTAAACGTGTTTCCTTTCTATCTTTCTATTACATCTTCTCCCAGTAAGCCTATTAAGAAGTCCCCAAATAAGGTTTCTGCTTGTATTGTCACCAGTATACTCTGCACAATGCTTCAGACTATCTTTAAAATGATGGCTTGATCATGTTACCTACTGTTCCTTTTACTGAGAAGAAAAAAATCCAAATTCTTTAACTTTATATAAGTTGCCACCAGAAATGGAGAAAGCAGGCTTTCCAACACTATCTCACGCTACTCTCCAGCACCCATCAGACAGACTGCAGGACTCCTATTTCCCGTGTGCACCAGATATATGCTCCATTCTAAGTCAATTCTTCCTCCTTCCTACCATCTGATATTGTTGATAACACCATGTTATGCTTAAAATGGTTATATGGTAAACATGTACATACTTCACCCAATATTGTTTTAGATCTCATTATTTATTTCCTTCCAATATTCTGAGTTAAAAATCTAACTCAAGGCAAGACACGATTGTAAGAGGGACTTTATCTAACAAATGCAACCTGGTTTCTTCTATCCTCAATGAATCCCCAACAATAAATTAAAAAAAAAAAAAATCTAACTCAAGACTCATAAAAATAAGAACGAGGCCAGGGGTGGGTGGCTCATACCTATAATCCTAGCACTCTGGAAGACCAAGGCGGGAGGATCATAGAGCTCAGGATTTCAAGACCAGCCTGAGCAACTGCGAGACGCCCCCACACCCAACATACATACTAAAAATAAAAAAATATATTAGCAGGGCACAGTGGTGCATATGCCTATAGTCCTAGCTGCTCTGGAGGCTGAGGCAAGAGGATCTCCTGAGCCCAAAAGTTTGAGGTTGCAGTGAGCTATGATGACACCACTGCACTCTAGCTGGTGCAACACAGCAAGATTCTGTATCAAAAAAAAAAAAAAAGAAAGAAAGAAAGAATAGAAAGAAGGGGGGATTAGAGGGTAAGGGGGAAAGGAAGGGGGAGGAGGAGGAAAGGGGAAGGGAAGGGAAAGGGAACGGGAAGGAAAAACAAAAAACCTGGGTTGAGGAGACACACTTGACTTCATTTAGATGTCGGGCAGGGGTTGGCTACGTAAGTGGAGACTGAACAGCTCTTGTACTAACTAGGTACTTGCAGGAATACACATTCTTTTTTTTTCTTTTTTTTTTTTAATTTTGCTTTCAATTTCAATTGGCTTTCACTCATCTTAGCTTGAAATTGTTCTTTTTTAAAAAAATTTTTTTTCTTTTCTTCCTTTAGCCAATTCTCTTGCCCTTTGCCTCCCAAGTAGCTGGAACTACAGGCGCCCACCACAACCCCCGGCTTTTTTTTGGTAGAGACGGAGTCTTACTCTGGCTCATGCTGGTCTCACACCTCTGAGCTCAGGCAATTCACCTGCCTTGGCCTCCCACAGAGCTAGGACTACAGGCGTGAGCCACCACGCCCAGCCAGGAATACACATTCTTAAAGGTAACTTTTCTAAGTTTCTTACTTTGGTTTTTACTAAGATAAACTTTTTATTTTGGAAAAACTTTAGACTTACAGCAATTTTGAAAAGATACTACAGAGGGAATATATCATGTTAACATATTATCTAATAATGATACATTTTTCAAATCTAAGAAATTAACATGGTTATGTTACTATTAATTAAACTACAGACTTCATTTCTATTTCACCAGATTTTCACTGTCCTTCAATTGTTCCAAGATCCAAGCCAGGAAACTACATTGCATTTACTCATCACATCTCCTACCGTCTCTGAGCTCTAACAGTGTCTCAGCTGTTTTCCCTGAACTTGACACTTGAATACTTGCCAGGTATTTTATAGAATGTCTCTTAAAGGGGTTTTTCTGATGTTTTCTCATAATCGAACTGGTGTTTGGGGGAAGAATGTGCCGAGAAGAAATGCTGGTCTACTCATTGTACAATGCTACCTTCTCATTGTAACCTATCAAGAGGTACACAGTAAATGTCGAGCATCCCTCAAAATCCAAAATCCAAAATGCTCCAAAAACCTAAACTCTCTGACTACTGATGTGACGCTCCTAGTGTGAAGTTCCTCACTGTAGGTGACAGGTCACAGTCAAAAAGTAGCTGCACAACACACAGTTATTTAGCATTTTAAGAAAAAAATAAAATTACATGTTTAATGTGCATATGAAATACAAATGAGGGGACGGAGAGGCTGGGAGGAGGGAGGGTATTTGGTGGGACCTCATCTAATGTGCAAGGGTACATGTCAAAACTATTAAGAGTAGAGTGTAAATGTCTTCACACAACAAATAAGTGAGGTGAAGGTTATGTTAACCAGCTTGATGTAAGCACTCCAAATTGTATATAAAATCATCAAATTATACCCCATAAATGCACTAATGTACACAGTTATGATTTAATAAAAATAAAAAACCTGGCTTGGTGCCTGTGGCTCAAGCAGCTAAGGCACCAGCCACATACACCTGAGCTGGTGGGGAGATATACAACAGTATTCCTGACATGCTACTGCCAAAGGGGAGATAATACAACAGTATCCTGTCATGCTACTGCCAAAACTGTATGACCTACCTCAATCGAATCATGAGGAAACCTCAGACAAATTCAAACTGAAGGACTGTCTCCAAAATAATTAGCCAATAATGTCAAAACGTCAAACCCAGAACGGTGTCCCAGCTTGCAGGAGACCAAAAGACACAGCAGCTGAATGCTGGGTTTGGATCCTTGTGCAACAAAAAGACATTTTCAGCACAACTGATGAAACGGAAGTGGGGTCGCATGGTGAAGGGCCTATGGGAGTTCTTCACACTGTTCTTCTACTTTGTTGTAGGTTTCAAGTTGTTATGAAATAAAAGTGAACTTTAAAAAATATGACTTTCATTGACTGCTATGGTCTGAATATGTCCCCTGAAATTCATGTGTTGAAGCCTAATGGCCAGTGTGAAAGAATTAAGATGTGGTGCCTTTAAGAAGTGACCTGGGGACTAGGACTCTTATGAAAGGGCTGGAAGGAATGGGTTCACTCTCCTCTGTCACACGAGGTCACCTAGAGGTGCTATCCAAGAACAATGGGCCTTCACCAGGCCCCAAACCTGCCAATGCCTTGGTCTTAAGTCTCCCAGCCTTCAGAGCTGTGAGAAAATGAATTCTTGTCCTTTACGAGTTACCTGGCATCAGGTATTTTGTTGTAGCAGCAAAGCAGACTAAGACATTGACTTTATGAAATCCTACATCTTTTGCAGGAGTTTCAAGTGTTCTTGTTAATAAATTTGCAACACAGCTTGTTTATCAGATATGTGTGAAAAAGACTAAATGCCATTGATTCACTGGGCAGGAATTAACATTATTAAATGGAGAATGATATCTGAATGTAAATTAATTTTATATGTGGTTCATTAGTGAATCCGATTTTTGCATTAAGATGATTTTTATTTCCCTATACAATTTGTACCTAGGGGACTGCATATCTTTTTAAATTAATTCTTATATTGTCTCTTTTTTTATTAGATCATAACTGTGCACATTACTGCATTTATGGAATACAATGTGCTGATTTTATATACAATTTGGAATGTTTACATCAAACTGGTTAACATATCATTTACCTGTTGTGTTTAGACATATATTCTCTACTAGTAATATATTTGACATGTACGGCTTACAAAATGCACAGTAGGTGAGGTCCCACCAATTATCCCCCCTCCACCTGTCCCGCCCTCCCCTCCCCTCACCCTCCTCTTCTTTCCTTCTTTCTAGGCTATAATTGTGATTTATCTTTCCTTTGAAAGTGTGGGTGATTATAAATTGATTTCATTACAGTACTGAGTGAACCGGGTATTTTTTTTCCATTCTTGAGATACTTTACTAAGAAGAATATAATCCAGCTCCACCCATGTAAACATAAAAGAGGTAAAGTCTCCATCTTTTTATGGCTGCATAGTATTCCATGGTATACATATACCACAATTTGTTAATCCCTTCACGGGTCAATGGGCATATATTGTCTCTTTTAATGCTCAGCATACACCTGCAAATGCTATTATTATTACCATCTTTTACAGGTGATGAAAATGAGGCTTAGAGAGGTTAACAAACTGAGGTCACACAGCTACTAGTTGCGCTTTGGGGCAAGAGGTCAAATTCTTGAATCTGTACTCTAAATTTCAGCGATTTTCAACCAGTGTGCCATGAGAGGATGTTAGGTCTGCCTTGAAAATTTTTAAAAATCATTAATTAAATAATTTTTGAAAGAGGTTCAAAGCATAGTAACCACATACTTTTTTTACTCTTTTTCACGGAAGTATAATTATAGGTTCAAGTGTGCCATGAGATGAAAAAGGTTAAAAAACACTGCTCTAAATAACAAAGCGTTCAAGTAAAATGTAAGCCCTCTCGTTATGTTATTCATACACAGCTGTATTCTTATGTACAGTATACAGAGTTGGAAGAAGAGCAAACACGGCCACATTAGCACCTACCTGCGTCTGCCTCATGGCCCGTTCCACTCGGCGTGTGCTCCCTCTCTCAAGTTTTGTCCGGAGGAGCAAAGCTGACGTCTGAATGGCCCAGAACTTTGGTTGTGAAAGCAAACACTGATGAAAGGGAAAGGTAAAAAAAAAAAGGAATAAGTTGATGATCCTACTCTCAAAAGGACAAGATTAATTCTTTCAAAAATATCAGGATATAGCTGAATGCAGACTTGAACATCGTCTCAGCGAACAAAGGCAAAAAGTTCCTCTTTTTTTTCAATTTAGATTACAGAAAAATCATCCTAAAACACATGAGAATGCTTTCTGGCCTTCATTAATAGCAAAAGCTAGTACTAACTAACACTGGGTCGCCTGACCTCCAGAGCATGTTTATCTTATTTTATAACACTTTCTCCGGAAGACCTTAGGCTCATTTAAATGGCTAAATTGAGATATGATTACCTCCTGGAAGTAGATGATACGTCCCACAAAACAGTAAAAATAGAGTAATGTAAAAAGAAAAATCAAGGGCGGAGCCTGTGGCTCAAGGAGTAGGGCCCTGGCCAAAACTGCAAAAAAAAAAAAAAAGAGGAATCAATTAAGAACCTTTGTGATAGTGGGAGAGGAGTAATCAAAGGATACAAAATAAGAGAGGAAGAGAATCAAAAGAATGGAATCTTACCGAAGTTTGTTTGTTCATTAATTCACTTGAGCACCTGTCTACAAGGCAGTGTGCACAAGGCCCTACGCACTGAGTACCAAGCAAAACAAAGTCCCTGTCCTCACAGAATGTATATTCTAATGCCATGTCTATTAGATAATCTTACTCTTCCATAACTAACTTTGCAAATTAAGAGTGTTTTCACCTTCTTGATATACAGTTTACAACATTCATAACATCATCTTGTTAGTATCCATTAATTTAAATCTGCAAAAAGAATGAATTTATCAACATAAATAGGTGCATTTGGTACCTATAAAGGTATGAATGATGAAATTGAAGGCAGTTAAAAACTGCCTTTAAAATGTGCAACACCATTTGGCAGAGGAGTTTATTATAAAATGTGACCTCAAGAATTGTCAAAGGAAAGGACTTTCTTTTTTATTTTTCTCTTCTTTTTTTCCCCCCCTTTTTTCTTTGAGACAGAGTCTCGCTATGTAGAGTGCTGTGGCATCACAGGTCACACCAACTGGGCATAAGCAATTCTCTGCCTCAGCCTCTCAAATAGCCAGGACCACAGGCGCCCACCACAACACCCAGCCACCTTTTCGTTGCAGTTGCCACTGTTGCCCAGCTGGCCTGGGCCAGGCCCGAACCCGCCAGCTCTGGTGCATGTGACCGGCGCCCTACCCACTGAGCTATGGGTGCCGCCCAGGAAAGGACTTTCTTGATTAGGTACATCTGTGAAACAGATTCTGCTACCTGTGGTGGGTGGCATCACTTGCCATCTTTTCTTTTCACCTTATTAAAGGGATTATCATCTGACTAACCTATGACAACAGGATGGAAGAACACTGAGGAAATAACTCTGCCAAGACTGATTAAATCCCAGCTTCACCAAGCAACATGATTCGCTATGTGGCCTTGAGAAGATCTCCCTGGGTGTCTCGCTTTCTTCCTCTCTAAAATTGAAATAACACTCCCATCTCTCCCAGAGTTGTGAACATTACATAAGTATTTAAAGCTTCACTAAGCCTGTGAGAGTAGCTGGCCCCGTGCAGCATCTCTCCTTATAATGCTTTCTTTCAAACCTAACAGAAAATCAGTCTCCAGAGTGGGAGCAGGTGCAGTGCTCACTTCCTAACCTCACTGATCACTTTACCAACAATAGCAGTGCAGTACACGGACCAGCTCATACTATAGGCTTGTTAGAATAAAGGCCAGCTTTAAGAAGGTTGTCCATAGCTGGGCATGGTGGTGCCCAAATCAGCCACCTTGGGGGCTGTGTGTTAGCATTACCTGAGTGTAGAAGTTTGAGAACAAGCTGGGCAACACAGCAAGACCTCACCTTGGGAGAAAAAAAAAGGAAGAAGGTTGTCCCCAAGGTTTGCACACTAAGAGACTAAAATATTTTCTCAGAAAAACCAAACCATCAGACTCTTTTCTAGTTCTCTACACTGGCATGAGAACAAGATGCTTCCCGGAGACACTATGTGAAGATCAAGCAAAATATTCTTATTAAACGTTGAAAATAAGATGTGATCTGACAGACCTTTGAAAAGCTTTAAAAAAGAAAATAACTGGCTAAAAGTATCACTGAAAATTCTACTTATCTTTTATCTATTTGGCTGGGACATAGGAAGATTTAGGAAAGTCTTTCTAAAGGAGATTAAAAATAGGCTCTATTTAATACAATTTATAAAACACTGCTGCCCATGAGGTAAGAATGAACCACAATATAGGACATTAGGTAAAGAAAAAGAAATCTAAATAGGAGATACTGACTTTTTAAGAAAATTATATTTTAAAACAATTTCAGTCTAATAGTTCAGCAAGTAAATCTAATAGAGAGAATACCAATCTAACCTACTTAAGCACTGGATCAACCCCAAGAGAGATGGGGTCTCACTATGTTGTCCAGGCCGGTCTTGAACACCTGGCTTCAGGTGATCCTCCCACTTCAGCCTCCCAAAGTGCTGGGATTATAAGCATGAGCCACCATGCCTAGCCATGCATCCTATTTTTTTTTTTTTTTTTTTTTTAGACAGAGCCTCAAGCTAACCTCCAACTCCTGGGCTCAAGCGAGTCTCCTG